AAATACTCTTACTGCATGTATGTCAGATAATAGAATCTCATGATTTTGCTAAAGCTGTTCTTTACACTGTCCAATAGAATGCATCTTTTCTTAGGTTTTGTCTGTTGTCCACCAAGTTGCGAGACTTGCAAATGAAATTATTTGTGTGTCTTATTCAGCCTCCTCATGGAGCACAGGGGAAGCCTGAAAAAAAGTATTACTGCAATGATGTACTCACAGTGGCTCAACACTCCTGATGCAGATGTAGTGCACAGCTGACATCCAAATAGGGCACTGAAATACTCACATTTCTCTAACATACCAGGATCCTGTGACCATCAGAAACGCTGCATCTTTCCAAGATGACTTATTAGAAATGTTTTGGACGTGGGAACTGGTCTTATACAATGTTTAGTTAAAGAGATAGGACACCAAAACCTGAATATATCATTTTCTCAGCCAACAGCTTAATAAGGTATTTTGACTCAGCACACACTAACCAAAAAACAAACCAACAAAACCCCCACACCACTAAAATTTAAAAAATAAAACAACAAAACACCCCAAACATATCCCACTTGCTACTTTAGATCTTTAAGGTAACATTTTTATTAGCAAAACCATTAATTTCTTGTGGTGTTTTTTTTTTCTTTGATAGCAACATAACTCACGCTCTGACACGTATAATAGGAAATTCAAATGAAGGTAAAGGCAGGAACAGCTGGGGTGTTTTGAGTGATAATTTTTTTTTTTTTTTTTTGAAACCCAATGTACCCAGGCAAGCCCAAGAATATACTGATGTCAGCTTGTTGCCAATCTCACCCAGGTATACCATCAAAAAAACCAATGTCTTCAGTAAAATATTATAGCAAAAGAGCCAGTACACGTGAACTGTTGCAACATAGCATCACTCCCATTTTGGTACCAAATATGTGTATTTTTTCCCTCAAGTATCATTCTGTTGGACTTTCACGAAACAAAAAGCTATACTCATTTATGTATTGTAAAAAGCTGTTTCTTCATTTTGTTCTTGCAGTTTAATTAACAACAACAGTTTTTCCTTGCCTTATTTTTACACCATGAGGAAGCAAAAAAGCCACAAATCCATCTTTTCACCTTTTTTTTAAAAAACAGATTAAAAGAATGCTATTAAAACAGTTAAACAACAATTAAGAAACTGCTAAGAAGAAGGTATGTTAATTTCCTGCATTGAGGAGCGCCAGAGAGACAGTAATGGCCATCTAAAGGCTTAAGGGCTCAAAATACAGGAGGTTGCCTGACTGAACCATCGGCTGATGAGCCTATCACCGGTTCTAACTCCGCAGTCATGACTTTTCAGTGGCCATCACTTACAGGTTCTAAAAATAGTTGATACATACCATGAGGCCTAGCAATTCTTGAACAGACACATACAAGAGAAGAAGACATAAAAGGCCACCTTTAGATGTTGTCATGACACTGCCATGAACATACTAAAATGCTTTCGAAATCATCCCCTTAAGTTGTGATTCTCTTAGATATGATTTATTTGACTAAATGACAACTTTTTGCTTCTCGACAGGCTGCAATGACAAGATGTGGCATTGGACATATTCTTACAATTAATACTAGATATCTCAGAAATCTAGAAAACAATCTTATCATTCAGGTATCCATTTAATACAGTAATAAAATGATAGTACATACTGCCTGTTCATGCTGTAACAGTCAGTCAAAGAAAAGCAATGTTTAGAGGTAGGGGTTGCTTTAAGAACAAGGAACTGTTGTTTATTCTAAAGGTACCTGATTCTGTCCATACTTACATCCTGAAATGTGCCTTTGAAGACAAAAAAATTGGCAGTCACCTTACAGCTGGGTCAAATAATTTAAAAACAAACAAACCCACCCCCAAACCCACAACCTTTTGATTTTGTAACAGTTTCACTTTCCAGTCTGCTGAGTACCTACCATCTGAGGGGAAGCCCAGGTTCCCAACACTTACAAGTTAAGGGGCAAGTTAAATCCAACTGTAAGCATTCAGAAATATTTAGGCACTTTCAAAACTAGTCCCAGACATTTTCAAAAAAGGGTCTTTTTGTTCTGAAGAAACTTCTGAGGTTACTCTGTGGCAGTGCATGAAAAGAAACCAAGATAATTCCTCTGGTCATTTATTCTGATCTGCCGTAAAATTTACACGGACACAACAAAACCAATAAAATCAGACAACACCTTCCCACCACTGGGCCTGTATATCATAACTGAAGGGAAAATAAGCACTTCTATTAACCTTATTCCTAAAAAGCCAAGTGAAATAATTTTTCTCTTCTGTATTTCTTCCACTTTTGAGTTCACAAAGAATTATATTTGCTCTTCTAAAAAGACTCTCTTCAGAGAGGGTCAGTAAAATGTGATCAAAAGATCAAGTTCAACGAAGTTTAACTAAAGCATTAAATTTAACTATTAACTAGAAAATACTCTTGTGTTTGCACAGTGACCCTTCTCCAAAGATCAAGCTCATGCTACCTTCCCAAGTCTTGCAGTAAGCCTCCCAAGTGTTACCTTATCCATTGCATAAGCTGGGTTGAGGAGTTGAAGGTTGCTGCTGAAGATTAGAGCGCCATACCCCAGCTCCTTCTACGCCCCTATAGAAGCTGTTTAGAACCTCAGTGGCCACCCAAGGTTCTGATTCAATGCAGAGCCCCTTACACCTGAGTGCTAACTTACCTACAATTCAACACTCAAGGTTTCTGCCTTACGAAGTCCTGTGATACAGGTGTATTCAAACAGTGTTTCCAGAGAAACACAAAGGAGCTATCACAGATTTGAAGTGCTGTCATGTCTTGTCATCCACAGAGGAAGGAGTTGATTTAAAAGTATGCATGTACATCCTTTTGAGATGTTACCCAGATCATTTCAACAGTAATGCTACTTGTTTGGTTTTTATTTTCCTATGTTTTAAGACTAAGCACACATACTTCAAATGAGATTACTGTTCCCCATCAGCAGTATGAACTTCCTGAAATTTTTGCAACATTTTACTTTAAGAAAAATAAATTTAAAAGCATTAAACTCCCCATAAGAATCAATGTCCCTGAGTCCTTGTCTCTCTCTGAGGAGGTTAACAGCGTTCGTCTGTTTTATAGGTATTTTGCTATTTAGAAAACAGCTCCTAATAGCATATCATGTCAGCTAGCCACAAAGCACCTCCAAAGTGCTAAATTACATACAACAGAGAAGAAAATCCATCTCTCAGCTACAGTTATCTTCAATTTATTTAGAGACAGAAATGACATCTGTGTTACCGATATCTTCTCAATACAAGTAGCACAGGTTTTAGCTTCCACTGACAGTCAGAACCAGCACACAAAATGGAGTTTGAACTAAGCACGTGCCATTATGGGTGCTGATGAAACAAGCTAACGCTTTGTGGCTGCTTTTACACGCTCCCACGTATGTTTTTGTTAAGACATTTTTAAGATGCTTGTTATAAAGATTACCTAACTACCTGGTGAAGGAATATTCATTCATTCATACAGATAAAATTGGGGTATTCCATCCTGAATAGTATCACTTACCTCGTTCATTTATAGAGTACCAAACACTACAGATTTCAGAGCTGAAACTACACCTACATAATTAGTTCTGCCAAGACTTGCTGTGTTCGTAATGAATGAATTTCATGATAGCATACAGAGGTTATAGGAAGCAATTTGCAATCTCACTGAAATGTGCAATTTCACTTAATGCCCTTCTTCTCTTTCCATCACATTAAAATTGTTAACTTTTTAAAAAATATTTTCATTCCAGTCTGAAGGAATGTTACCTGTAAATATCTTTAGGATTACTGACCAGAAGCTTAAGTCACCAGTGCCACTGCACATCAGCAGGTACTCCATTACAAAAACAATATGAAAAATTTTCATCATTGCAAAGGTCAGCTTTTTCAGGATCTAATTTCTGCAGGATGGAATAAAAACTATAAATTTGCCTTAAATGGAAAAATGAGAAGGAAAAAAAAGTAAGTATTATAACGTTCTACCTCTTACTGACAATGGATCTATAAAGGCTTTGGCAAATTTCAGCTGAAATAAGCTTACAAACATCTTGGGAATCCTTCCACTTTTCCTTGTTCAGAGATCTCAGAAGAACACTACATAGCAATGAATATCTGCAGTACTGCAAATAGGAAGACCTTGGCAGCTGATGTGGAATTAGCCTGAAATATGTAAATACAACTGACTTTTTTCCTTTTCACTACTGATTCAGAACTGACCACTGAATTAGGAAATAACATGAATATCCGTTTGAAAAACAGAAAAAACATGAAGACCAACAAGTGTCCATTTCATATAACAACATAGGTTTGGTTCAGGTTATTCTCCAAGGGAAGTTATAAATAGGACAACCCACTACCATGCTTATACTATTGCAAACTTAGTTACCAAACATGCTTTTCACCTGCAGCAGTACTGGCCCACTGTAAGTGAGAGAACAAAGTCCATGTCCCAGTTCTGGCCTTTTTCCCTTTGGCTGCTGGGGCAGTGGGTGACGGAGGTGATAGTAACATGCTCAGCACCTGGAGGGAAAAAGTGCCGCATGTCCCACACCAATAATTATGAATCCTTAAATCTACTGGAGTCATTACAGAAGGTATGGCACTTTAATCCCTCGTTTAAATAAGCACAGTCACTTTGTAGATGTTTGGTTATTTTGCTCAGTTTCCACATCTAAAGGCAAAAGAAACCCTTGGAAATCAATTTGAAATACAAGTCCGATACTCATCATTGCCCTCTCTGTTCTTGGTCTGTTGCAGTTCGGCAAGTCTTAACACAGCTCACAGGGCGTTGCTGATATGACAACTCAGGCAGCATTGCAGGTACACACTTTTATAATCATCATCATCTGACCCTTTCACAGCATAAATTAAGAACACGGCATTCAAAAACATTTCCAAGGAGGAGATAAGAATGCACTGCCCTGTCAGTGTGTTAAGGGGTGTAGACGCAGACATACATACAGAACATCAGTATTGTTTTCCTTACTTGGCTTTACTTGCTCTTCCTGTGCTATTCCAACATCATCAGAATCAGATAGTTCCTTTATGAAGTTGGAAGGAAACATGCCAGTCTTTCCATTGAGTATACCTTCCCACCAGCCCTCTTCCACCTGCACCAAGACAAAACCAAAAAATAAGGGGTTTTAACATAAGGAACACTTTACAGAGTTACACTACATACATGATTTTTCAGTAACTATGACAGTAATGATTTTGGGCAGTTTCTATTAATTTCAGGTATAAGGCGCACATGACATAGGCCCCAAGCCAGAACATCTCTCTCTTTTTTTTAAAAAAGTAAAACCAAGAAAGATGCATACAACCTTCTCTAAATGCAGCAGTGCTGACAACAGTCAGAAGCATGGACAAGCATTAAGTAAAAGGGCAAAAGAGCAACAAGAGAGCACATGGTGTCTCTACATTTCAATTTTTATGGATATCAGTTCAGTCACTAAATTTTCACGCACACTGTACTCTTATTCATGACCGTCTTCTTAATGGATGTGATTTGCAGATTATTAAGAGTTTAAATTCCCTAAGTAATCAACAGCAAAAGAGAAATCAGAGAATCTAAACTAAATATCTTAACATAACTAATGGGAATATTCCTGCTCTCCCCATCAAAATCAGAAATTCTCTATTTCAAAAATTAAGACTGTTGCTACATCATTAATGTGTTAACCTAAGAAACCTACGGAGAACAAAGAACAGTGTAATGCATATCTGACTCTAGATTTACAAGGCAATACATAATAATGATATGGTCAGAAGGAGGAGAGGCACTTCCTAGCCTGATCCCAAGAGAAAATATCACTTAAAAATTACAAACTCCCTCCTGTATAACCCATGCAGGATTGAATGGCGGCATCAGGCAGTGAAATGACAACCCTTAGAAACCAGATGCCTTTAGGTTATACTGAGACAGCAAGAAATTACTTATTATATGCATCAGTTAAAGACACTCTTGACAGATAAATCTTTTTCATCTGTCAGACACTGTCTGTTCACAAACAAAATGACAGGGGAGGACAACGCCAGTCTGTGACACATCAGTCTCCAGTAATGTTTGGCCCATCTTTGGCTCCGTAACAATAATTATGAAAATAGAAAGTTAACTTTACAAGTTGAGGGTGTTCACATTTACTGTTAAAAAAACAACCCCACGACTTAAATGGCACTAATTAATTGGTACAGAAAAGAAATAGTCTGTTTCATATAATTTATCTGCAAAAATCTCAAGTTCTTAAAAACCAAATCTCTTAATACAAGCACACATTTCCTCAAACTACAGAGGAATGGTTGAATTTTTTCAACACAGCTACATGTACAATTTCACTACAAAGAAAATTGTTGTGACTTCAGGAGTGTTTCCTGTGTTTTCCCTCCATCTTCAGCCTTTTTAGCACATTTATTGTCCTGGGTTGACTTTTTGTTTCCATTTGAAATCAGCTCAGACCAGCAGAGCTACTTTCATTTAATCAGCATCTGTCCATGTTAAAACTTTCCAACACGCCTGCCACCCCCAAGTGCATCAGCAGTATTAGTGAGCTCAAGCACAACTCTCGGAATAATTGCTATTATCTTGCTGCTGCTTCAGAGAACAGAATACATACAAATCAATCACTTCAGTGGGGTGCAGGTTTTTCGCATTATAGTATCAAAGTCTCTAAAATGTAACATCTGCTTTTCTCCTCTCCAGACAAATTAAAAAATGTGGAAAACTGAAACTGCGTAACAGACAACACTCAGTAGACTCTAAAAACTGTTACCTATATATAATATATCATTATACAGCAAATACACAACATGGCCAGGACTCTGAGCTATAAAATGTTTCAATTTTTCTAATGTAGCACTCCCAGATGGCTCTATTGATTAGAGCTGAACATTAAACCGTAACTGCATTAGCTGATTGACCAGAAGATTAATCATGGGGGAAGTACACAGCTCCCGAGATCCCTCCTTTGCAAGACGCTGAGATGACTTGACAGAAATAAGGTGAATAAAATCACTCAGTTCCATCTTCTCCTCAAGTCATTTCCTCCTGCGTACTTCTTCCAGGGCAACACTTCAGTTTTCTTACAAGTTAACATTAGCACTCTTTACGTAGCGTGTTTTTGTATGGATCTCTGCGTGCAAGTATAGAAATTACACATACACAAAGATCTTTTGACACGTAAATCTATGTGGTTGTGAATATATTCACAGCACTCATTAGCTTATCATAATTTTTTCTGTTGATACAAGAACGAATTATCTGAGAGTACCATGTCATATTCAATAACTTTACAAATTCAGAAAAATCTAAAGCAAAACGCAGATTTTTTTCTGCAAGAAAATGCAGAATCATGTTAGCAAGACATCAGAGGTTCAGGCCAAAATGGGCCTTCCAAACATATATTAGGAGATTTTCATCAAAAGCCTTAAGTATTTTTAAATGCTATAGCTACATTCTACATACCTTTATGCTTGAAAACACACCAGTTAGAGATTAATCCATACAATGAAGAAGACACTAAAATACCCCCTGGATTTAGTTATCCCAAACTGGGGCAATCAGTTACCATATGGTTTGAAATGTCGCAATAATTCCCAGCCAATAAAACCTTACAAATGAAAATCCATTATTCATGGCGGTAATCCATCTGGAGATACAACACTCAATAAAATTTGTTACTATACTATTATAACAAATTGCTTTCAGGATTTATTCATGTAGGTAGTGATTTATGCTGAGCTGAACCAAACGATTTAAAAAGAAGTGGATTTCATTCAGCAGCCTGTCTCCCTACGCCAGAAAAGAAGCTCCACTATTCATAATACCCTACACACCAATAGTAAGCTGAGCCTAAACTCCTAAGTTTTTGGTTTTAAGTTAGAAGAATCTCCAGTCCGCCAAATCTAAGTGGCAACATCTAGAGGTATTTTCAAGGCATGTTTCCAATGTTTCGTATCTGCTGACTGCCTTTCAAAGAGGCATATCCTTATCTTCCCAAGCCTTAAGGCTACCAGTACTGCTGTCACACCACATCTGAAGAGCAACAACATACAGAAAAGTGACTGAAGATACTGCGTTACTCCACTTCATATATTTAAGAAGGTAACAACACATGCACACAACTGCAACTCGGACAATGCCAGGCGTGGGGGAAGGACAGATGTAACAGCTATGTGCAGTCCAACGTCTGTATGTGACTGAATGAGATACGAACTACAATATCACCAGAGAACGGTGCAGCACATCTAGAGAAATGCATCCCATTAAGAAGCCTTGCCTTTGTGACCTAAAGGGAAATTTAATCTATAGAATAATTATGTGACATTCAAATGTTCCTCCAATATCAATGAGCTCTGGGTTATTTTACATTTTCAATGAAGAAATAATACTTGTTTTTTGTTTTTAATTGCTCAATCAGTAAAGCTTTTTTTGATATAAGTATGGTTTTTGGAAACTATAAACCAAATACAGATTAAAGTAATTTAAAATATACTGGTTTACTTGGTTAGAAAGTGAGTATTCAGTCAAATTATGAGATCCTAGCACAGAGTAACAACCCAGACTAGAAAGACAGTAAGAGGCTGTAATAGTTAATTTTACTTACAATTAATAATATAAATAAGAAATAATAATGAAGTGCTCAAAACAAATACCATGGCAGTGGACAGACAGGAAAACAACACAGAAAATTATATGAGTGAGACATTCGGGGACACAAGAATTTCTCAAAAGGGTATACAGATGCTAGGACATTAAGCTGCTTAGCAATCAATTGGAATCAGCTTATTTCCTTATTTAAATATAAAAAATTCAAAAATGTAACAGCAGTTCAAGCCTTCTGGCAACCATAACAGTTCTATTTCAGACCAGTAATGCAGTTTTATTCTGTAACTGTAAAGTAACCGAATAAAACAAATTTGCTTTAGTAGATCACTAGGACTACAAGATTAGGATATTCCAAAAGTGAGGAAATGTTACTTTTTATGTTCTTTAGGTTTTCCCTTTATGACCAATACAATCTGCAACACCCCCTTTAAAGAAAGAAGGGTCAGAGGGAGCATCAGCCTGACCTGTAGCACAATAAACCTTGTTACAAGCCTAGAAGCACCTTCCCTTGCAGGAACAGGATGGCCATACACTAATTCCTGGATGGGATACCTAAAAATAGCAGGAAATGCTAAGGCCAACTACCAGCAGCTCCTTGCTAGAATTATCTAGGACTGCCACAGCTGCTTGCTTACACCTTGCTGTATAATTAATACACAAAAGTTATTAAATGATTGCAATGTTCAGCTCTTTGGAATCGCTGACCTAAAGCATGTTTCCAATAAACTTCTGTATCTGCCTGTTTCACAAGCTTTTCTGTGATCTTCAACTTTGCCCAAGAGGCTGACAGACTACTTATGTCTCAGCCAGGGTAAAAGAAGGAGTTATTTGAGTCAGGAATGGTTTCAGGTGGAAGAAAGTCTCCCTGGATCACAACAGAGTCTTTCTAGGCTGTTAAAACTGAAATACAGTCCCAGGAATAAAAGCAATGCCAGAGGGAGGCAACAGGAAGCAGAGACGCCCAAAGTCAACAAATTTTCTTTTTCTTAGAGACAGCTAGAGCACAAAAAGCAAAAGAAAAAAACTCCCTTGTTTTATACATTCTGAAGGAAGATCTTGAATCAGAAAATCAATCCTCTGTTGAAAGGAAATTAAAAACATAGATTCCCAAGAGGTGAAATAAACAAATCATATTTACTACTGATGGCAGAATTAGTTTTGGAAACAAGACCTCAACAGAAGATGGTTCCTACAGTGCCACTTGATAGCTTATTCTGGGAGCACATTCAGCGCGAGTCATACCCACGAGATGTAAAGCCAGCCCTTGGGCTTCTGCTACAGCTCACCTGGAAGCTGTTTGCTAAACTGGTGCAGAAGGGAAGAATTAAAAACTGCTCAAGTACCTTGTATTAGGGGATCTTTTCAGCTTCAGAGGTATTTATTTTACAAAATGTGCATTGGGATTTTTTCTGTTTGCGGTCTTTTCTGGTTTGGGTTTTTTGGTTTGGTTGTTGGTTTTTTTTTTACATCACCTTCTAAGTAAAAAACTGAGGGACAGAGAATGCA